TCCAAAGTCAATATCTAGCGGGCTAATGTCTACTATATGCTGACAGTACAGAGCCGCGCTGTAGCCGGGAAAGATCCCCACAATATTGTCAAGATCTACCCCACTGCCTGATTGAGAACTGGCCCTACCTCTCTAGAGCCAGCTGTGCCCCCTGTCGGTCTGATCCTCCAATGAGCACTGGTGGAACAGAGAGCGTAGGGGGAATCCCTTTGGGAGCAGTGATTGACAGTCACCACACTCTATGAGGTAAGGATGATCATGAGAAAAGTAAGGGATCAGCCCAGAACTACACGGTAGGAGCTTGTGAATGATCTCAAGGCAGTTGGGACCACAGTCACCAAACAAACCATTGGTAATCCAATACTCCACCATGGATTCAGATCCTGCAGCGCACGCAAGGTCACCCTCCTTAAGAAGCCACATGTACGGGCCCGTCTGAAGTTTGCCAATGAACATCTAAATGATTAAAAGAAGGATTGGGAGAAAGAGCTGCGGTCAGATGAGACCAAAATGGAGCCCTTTGGCATTAACTCTACTTGCCGTGTTTGGAGGAAGAAAAATGCTGACTGACCCTAAGTACACCAGCCCTACAGTCAAGCAAGGAGGTGGAAATATTATGCTTTGGGGCTCTATCTCTGCTAAAGGTATAGGCCGACTTTGCTGCAATGAGGGGCCAATGGACGGGGCCATGTATTGTAAAATCTTGGATGAGAACCTCCTTCCCTCAGCCAGAACACTGAAGATGGGTCGTGGATGGGTCTTTCAGCATGACAATTACCCAAAACATACTGCCAAGGCAACAAAGCAGTGGCTCAAGAAGAAGCACATTAAGGTAATGGAGTGGCCTAGCCAGTCTTCAGACCTTAATCCTATAGAAAAGGTATGGAGGGAGCTGAAACTTCGAGTTGCTAAGCCACAGCCAAGAAACCTTAAAAGGATTTAGAGTGGACCAAAATCCCTCCTGAGATGTGTGCAAACCTGATGACCAACTACAAGAACCGTCTTACCTCTGTGCTTGCCAACAAGGGGTTCTCCACCAAGTACTAAGTCATCTTTTGCTTGGGGATCCAATACTTTTTTTACTCACTGAACTGCAACTCAATTTATAACATTTGTATCGTGTTTTTTTCTGGATTTTTGGTTGATATTCTGTCTCTATCATTTAACATACACCTATGATAAAAATGATAAACCTTTCATTTCTTTGTAAATGGGCAAACTTACAAAATCTGCAGGGGATCAAATAATTATTTTCCTCACTGTATATGAGAAAAAGAAAAACCAGTCCACTATGAAAAATTATACAGCTGACAAATTATAAAAAAAAAAGTAAACCAGTTTTACTGTGCAGGGCCATGGTCATGCACGCACAGGCTAAGGCAAAAGGTCAAAGCAGGAATCCGATTCAACATTTTATGTATTCTAATCTGCTACCATAATTCAAGTGACACTAAACTCAGGAGTTATATCTTAAAAATGCATTCAGGTACTTAAGATACGTTTTTGTTAATAGTTAATTTGTCTATCACTCGGCTGTAGATCCTCAAATCATCTCTGAATTGGTGCTGACACTGTCCTCCCTTCTGGAGGGTGGCTACTTTTGTCCCCCATGGTCCCTGTGTGTGTTGTAAAGTAGCTACCACTCCAAGCTCGCTCCCGTGATGGATTACAATCACATGTTTAGTACTGATTTGTACTGAGATTGTAGTTCATTACAGGAGCATGTCTGGAGCAATTGCTACTTTACAACACACACAGGGACTATGGGGAACAAAAGTAGCCCCCCTCCAGAAGGAAGAAAAGTGTCGGTAGGAATTCAGGGATGATTTGGGGATCTACAGCAGAGTGATACACAAATAAGATACATTTTTGTTAATAATTAAGGGACTTGAAAACTCAGGAGTTAAGTTTTAACTGAGTTTAGTGTCATTTTAAGCCACCCTCTGTCTAAAAAAAATGTATAATATATTAGTAGAGACTACAAAGGGAAATGTTATGTGGTACAAATTGAAAATAGTGTTCTGGCACTATAAGAGAAAAGAAGCTGTGATAATGGAGCTGATAATACTCTTTTTAGCCACCTCCAGTGGCTAAAAAAAAATAAACATGTTGAATTGTATGTGCATAGAGTTGCACAGAGAAGTGTACATAGACGTTGCAATAGACACAGATGGGAATTTATCAAAATTGGAGCAGACAAAATCTGGAGCAGCTGTGCATGGCAACCAAACGGCTGCTCTTCTACCTTCCCCAGCACTGGTCCCTTGCAGTGGCCTGCATATGTTGACAACTCGCCTGCTGGCTCTCCTTATGTTAAAGTGACATTAAAGGCTCCCCCCCCCCACCCAATATTAGTGTAAGGAATTACCCTAAATGATGCCTCTTTATTCGATCAGCTTCTTCCTTACTGTCCTTTTCAGCTGTCCCTCCAGCGCTGGTGCGGGTCTCCGATCCAGTGCTGACTCCTCTGCCCTCCTCTGATGTCCCACGTTATCTGTGCGGGTGCACGCTGCTCCATAGACTTACCCTGTGTCTCCTCTCGTCTCCCGGCCGAACATATGAACTGCGCATGCGCCCGCCCCAAGATCCATTGCGGCCACCGAGACTCTTCAGATGTTCGGACGGGACCGTGCAGCGAAGACACAGGTAAGTTTAAACCGGTTTCAAAAGGCTTATTTTTTTTTTCGTTTTTGCTTGCTAGCAGTAGATATATGCAGAAAAATGGGAGGGTTTAATAACCCTTTAAGATCAATGACAGTGTTGTCACAGTTGACATTGCCAGGTGCCACAGAGAGAGGTTCGCAGGAGGGCTCATCAAAATTTTGCTATGGGACCAGAGGTGTAACTAGAACCTTCAGGGCCTCGGTGCAAGAAACCATGAAGGCCCCCCCAACCGCCATGGCACCTCATGGTTAACAGGAAGGCTGTCGAGGTCCCCAGCAAGCGCGGGACCTCAGGCAGCCGCTTGTTTAACATTTTAGTGCCGGTGTTCTGTCGAGATCGCTGACCCAGTATCTGCGTTTGCGACGGGATTAACGAGGAAACCGGCATTTATTTACAAAGTATTTGTGTGTAATGGTTAATGGTGACCGCTTATAATATGCCGTCCATGGCAGTAAATGACGGATGGAATATTATTAACAGTCACAATTAACAATTTAAACGAAATGCTTTGTAAATGAATCCCGGTTTCCTCAATAATACCGATCTGTGTGTAAGCGCAGATGCTGAGGTCGGCAAATTTGACTACATCGGCGTTCTCGACAGAACACCGGTATCTGCATTTAGTATTTTCACGAGTATGAGTACTCGTGAAAATGCCCAGTATTGGCAGTGGTGTATCCCTACTTAAAAATATAATGCATTGCTGGGACTTGTAGTCCTACATAGTTGGTACTATTCTGCATTGCTGTATAATCATCATACAGCAATGCAGACCACCAGCTATGCGGGACTACAAGTCCCAGCAATACATTATAAGTCAGCTATGCAGAATGCTACCAGCATCCCCCCACTATAATGCATTGCTGGGACTTGTAGTCCTACAGAGTTGGTGCTATTCTGCATTACTATATAATCATCATACATCAATGCAGAATACCAGCAGCTATGCACTACACTGCTAGGGTTCACTGCTTATTTTTGTCTACGGGTATAGTGTAAAGCAGTTTTACTTATCTGATCACCTGGTAGTCATCACTCCCTTCTCTCCCTTTTACTCCGGCCAGTGGACTGTCCCTCGGCATCCTTACATATAAAGCAGGACTCTGGTCCCTGCATTAGACATAATGACGCCAGCAGGCCTCCAACCACCGGAGTGAAAGGGAGAAGAGGCTACAGGAGCAGGGATCAGGTAAGTTAAAGTGCTTTACTCAGGTACGCTAGACCAGAGGTGGGCAAACTCAAGTCCTCCAGCTGTTGTGGAACTTTTAATTCCATGAGGCATCACTCCCAGGGTGCTGATAGTGCAGGGGCATCCAGAGACATGGTGTCACCTGCACCAGACACTGGGTGATACCCAGCCGTGATGTCATCGAACACACGCATGATGACGGCTCGCGCTGTTACCTATCGACAGCTAACTTTGTGATGGATGCCAGCAGAAAGAGGAGGGGGACGTTCATCCGGTGGGATAAGGTATTCCGCTGGGTCCTCTCCTCTCTTGTCAACTTTTCAGAGGTGGTGACACCAAAATGACTGCCAGTCATTTTGCTTTTTACCCCCTCCAATGGTGTCACCCTGATGAGGGCTGCACCGCCCTAGCGACGCCACTGCTCCAGTGACTAGATCAGAGTCAGCTACCTGCCTCTCATCCACCTCAACATAAATAGAAACGTTTGGCCATGCTAAACATTACTGTTTTGTTTATAGCATTTGCTGCCCACATAGGCAACTGACCACCACTAGAATGAGCACACACACTCCCCCTACCCCTCTCACTGGACCACATGGCGATAGGAAGGGCAACAGGATCATTTAATGCTGTTGGTGTTGAGCTATACAACTGTGTACGTTTACACCCTCGATAAGTGCACAGTCCGGGGACAGACATAACAGAGAACATGGAATCACTTGTGCTCCACTACACTGCAAGGCTCCCCATGCCGCCTACGCAACACATGCGGCAACTCTCCAGCAGGGGGCGCCGGCTACTAATGGCATTTGCGGCGATTCAAAGATGGCTGCCGGCGCTTCAGGCTCCGTTCAATGTCGTCAGCTGACTGACATTGTGACTCCTCACACAGGCAGAAGATTTCCGGGTGCAGAATATGGTTGCTGTCCTCACCTCACCCTAAGGAGTAGCTGCACAAAACACCAGAATCCCGGGAAAGGTGTGCGGGCAACGTACAGAGACTTCCAGCAGTGCGGTGCCAGCAGGGAGCAGAGGCAGCCCTGGAAATGATGTGCTGAGTCTGTGCGGGGAGAATGTACACAGAGAGGTGATATTTGCAATGATCAGCCATTGACAATCCAGGCTTCCACCTCTGAGTCTAGTGTCATGTGAAGACAAGTAAGCTGCTGCTGTACCACAGGCTGATCCAGGAAACATGTTGAAGTCCCAGCAGATGAGGGCTCTCATGAAAGCCCCAAGGAAGCGGCCATACAGCTGCGACACTTGCACCAAGCAGTTTGAAACCCCTTCTAAACTGGCAAGACATTACCTGACCCACACCGGCCAAAAGCCCTTCCAATGCCTGGACTGCAATAAGACTTTCCGTCAGTTGGTGCACCTAGAAAGGCACATGGTGACCCACAGTCTCCCATTCCAGTGTAATGTCTGTCACCGCCACTTTAAAAACGCCGACGCATTTTCCAAGCACCAGCGCCTGCATGTTGAGGGTGCTCGGCTGAAAGGGAGGATGACCAAAAAGCCTGCGGGCTCCCGCCGGAGGAGATGCCTCTCTCTCCCGCTGCATTGTTTCGGGTGCCAGAGGACATTTGAAAGTGAAGAAAAGAGACTACTCCACCAGTGCGACTTTGTGAACATCGCTGCTGCCTTCAGGAAGCCAGAAACTCAGCATTGTGGCTTGTGTGACAAGGTGTTCCCCTCCCGCTCCAAGCTGGAGAGACACCTCATGATCCACACTGGCCAGAAACCATTTGCCTGTGTTCTTTGTGGAAAAGCCTTCAGGCAGAAAGCTCATCTCAAAATCCACGAGCTGACCCACACTCAGGAGAGGCCTTTTCAATGCAGTCTGTGTTTCAAGTCCTTCAAGTCACCATACCAACTTCTCAAGCATGGAAAAATGCACGCAACCATGTCCACTGTTCAAATTAATGTGGGGATTTCTGCAACCGCACCTTTGCAAGTTAAGGAGGAGCCCGATGAGGTTATTCCTTTCCAGTGTTCCTCATGTCACCAGGGCTTTGATAGCCAGCAGACCCTGGACAATCATATCTGCGAGGGAATGAACACACATGTAACAATAACTTGTCCCATAAAGAGTTGTGACTCGGCATCTGTGAAAAAAACAAAAAGACACGGTATGTATTTGGACCCTCACAGCGAAATATTTCCCGCCGACCCTGAACCATCTGAGAGTCTGCTAAAGACTGAACTGGAGGACACACAACACCGTGACCCTGATGCACCTGAATGCCAGCAGTTTGTTGTCCCCAGAAATATATTGCAGCTGTATCCACAACAAAAAGTGAAACCTCCCAGAAAACCATTTGGACAGTCTCATCTGCTTCTTGGAAGACGCTTTAGAAACCAACATTTAAATGATAATAGAACGGTGGGGAATAGAGATGCTGGAACTATGCACAACTATGGGAAAGGAGACCCTGGAGATGTTAGGGACACGTTTCACCACTTTCTGCAGCAGGCACAAGGCATTTTACTGCCAAGGCACAAAGCCAGGTGCGACCGCTGTGAGAAATCCTTCCCTTCCATGTCCAAGCTGCGTAGGCACTACCTCATCCACACCGGACAAAAGCCCTTTTCATGCATTGCGTGTGGAAGGGGTTTTAGTCAGTCTGCCCACTTAAAGCGACACCAGGTGACCCACGCAGAGGAAGACCATCTGTACAGGTCACAGGTTGCTTTGGGTGATTATCATTCTTCATTTAATCAGTGGCAAGAAAACTCAAGTTACCAGTTACACCAGCACTCTTGTAGACCCATTGAAAACAGCCAAGACTTTAGTGAAATTACTTTTGTTGTCCCTGATATAAAAGTAGAAGCAGGAACAGCTGATTTGCCTGAGGTTATTAAAAAGTCAGCGGTTACTAAGAGGGCAAGGATAACTTTGCCAAGAGCTCCTAATGCTAAATCCAGCCAAGAAAGGCCGCTGCAAAAAACGAGGACGCGAGCAGTTCAGAATAGGTATAGATGCAGTGTGTGCTCCAAGAGTTTTCATACACCTTCCAAACTTGAGCGCCACCTTCTTACACATTCTGGCCAGAGGCCTTTTGTGTGCCAGGAGTGCGGCAAATCCTTTCGCCAGGATGCCCACCTAAAACGACACATGGTTACTCATGTTAAAGTGCCGGAATAGGTGGTTGACTCTGGGCTTCTGTAAATGTCCATTTTCACAGGGGTTACAGAGTGGCCATGTTTTCAGGTCTTGTTGTTTATTTAGAAATAGACTGTCAAATGAAGCTCAGTCATTACCATTGATTGCTGTTGTTTCCTGCTCTGTGTATTATTTCAAATGTGTTTAATTATTTTACTGATCTGTGGATGTATATTTCAGATAAAAACTATTTCTGATTTGGAAAGTCTGATTCCATTAAGCAGGAGTGGGATATATTGTGCAAAAAAGCTTGAAGAACATTCAATGTTTTTTCTTTAGATAAACTCTGTAATAAGTTTTGAAGGCAAATGCAGGATACCCTTGTAAGCGGCGTCAGATGGGAGGAGCTGGCCTTTTTGCCGTGACTACATACTGTTTTGGATGCTTTGTTATAGATTCCACTTAAAGAATATCTGCTGTATGGATCTTACATGTGGCTGCAAGAAGGCCATACAGGGCACATACTGGTGTATATTTCTTGCCAAGAGTAACAGGCTCACTATATCACTATATAGCTGCGTGCAGGCAGTCTGTACAAATCAATGTCAGGCTGGCTGAATACGCAGCTTTATAGATATGTGTGAAAATCGCACTGTTTACATGTGTACATGGGCGTACGAGGACTCACTGCCCTGAACTCATAACCTCTGCATCCAATGCAGTATGTAAGCCAAGGTACACATGTAAACAGTGGGTTTTGTGTAAATACCCATATAGTCCCGTTTTCAGCCAGCCTGGCTGCATGCAATTGTGTGATGAAGCTGTCATTATGATGACACTACGATGTGTGCTGTACGGCCCTCTTGCTGCCATGTGCAAGAACAATAAGTCTTATAAAAAGCTGAAGTTTGGATTTAGGGTGATAACATTTATTGGCTAACTAAATAATACAATAACAGCTAAGTAATACAAGCTTCAAGGTATACATGCATCAGCTTGCCTGAAGAAGAGGTCTTGAAAGCTTGCACTACACTCTAATTAGATAGCAAATAAATGGTGCCACCCTGACTCCAAATTCCACTTTTGTCGATGGCTAACATGGTACCCTTCTGCAACCCATCTTAGAGTAGAGAAGGGTTAAAACCCCCTCTGCTTTTTACTGCCTGATACCCATTGGGGGAGATTTCCATTCACTTACTGTCGCAGCGGTACAACAGTAAGTGAGAGGAAATCTCTCCTAAGTGAGGAGGTATCTTATGTTGTTACTGGAATGAGTGTCTCCATTGCAAGATTTACGTTTACCTGTTGTTGCAGTGACAATTGTAAATTGCCCCGTCACTTTCTGCTCCAGTGACAATGGTCAACCTGGACAGATAGGTGAATTTCACCAACATGGACACAGACAGGAATAACAACTTGACAGGTTTAACACTTCCACACTCTGTGCACAGCCAAAAATAAGTTTTGGCTTTAGATGTGATTTAAAGAAACCCATCATTAGAGGAATACCAGGCTCCTGAAAAAGCTAGTCACCTGTGTCCGTGGCTTCAGTAGTTGGAGCCAATGACATTCAAGTATCCACAAGTATGCTGATGATGAGGACCTCTGACTTTTCTGATCTGCATTTCTGTTCCAGGTCAGTGATTCAAAGTGCATTAAAGTCATGAGAGAAATACATTGCCTGCCAATTCTGATCACAAGAGATCAGTTCTTACTCCAGTTGCTGCATTTGTCTGTGACTTAGAAAGCACTGAAGCCAGAAACAAACAACTATAGGAAACGCAGTGAGCCAGGAAATGACATTCCTATACAATCTGCTTCATATGCTGTTCTATATTCTGCTGACTGCAGATGGAAAGGTAACATTTCAAGAGACCCTGTCACCACTGGGAGAAAATGAAAGCAAAAGCACCCTGTGGAAGAGAAAGCCATTATGCATACCTGTCTGGTGGTGCTCCTATTCCATGGTGACAGGGTTGCTTTAATAACATTTAACTACAAAGGTTTGTGGGAAAACGTTGTGATTCCCTTTAACATGAATCTGTGCTTTGCCTATGCCCATTACAATCCTGTGAACACAGTCCACGCAGGGCTTGTGGCGGTTGACTTCGATAGTCAAATGTACTGTGCTTTTCAAATTAAGTTTAGGAAATCATTTAGAATTAATTTCATGTTCAGTTCACTTTCCACAGCTACCCTTGCATTACAAATGGTTTATAGTAGTTGTTAGGCTTCTAATATAATGACATTTGGAAAGTGGATGGGAGTTAGCATTGTCAGGTGGATGCTAAGGACTGGGCATAGTGGTTAGCGCTTCTGCCTGTAAAGTGCTGCGTAAATTGTCGGTGCTATATAAATACCTGTAATAAATAAATACTCCTGCTATTTATGAAAGAATAAGACTCAATCACCTGGGTGGATAAAGCCCAAAACTTTAGCAGGGCGTTCCCTAAAAGGTGTAAAGAATCCATTCTGTGACACTGAGCACAAGCGCCCCCTCATAACTGGGTTTGGGTGGTCTACATTGTGATGCCCTGAGCATTGAGTTTCAGGTCTTGTCCTGCAGTTTCTTCTATCCAGGTACAGTATTCCCTTTTTCTTATGGCTACAAGTAGAATGGTGACTTGCAGGTAAGTGACACTTACTCAACAAATTCACTCCAGGCCTCCTCACCAATACTATGTATGTAAAACAAAAATGTAGCAATCAATATGTATAACGGATGGAAAACCAGTGCTGGGGGAGATATATAGACTGCCCTGACTGTCTTCTTCTGGCTGTCTGGCTTTCCATGCTGATCCTCTGGCCATAATACTTTGAATCACTAACCTGGAACAAGTATGTAGACCATGAGTTCTGACTTTACTTTCTGCCTGCTTTCTCTGAATTATGGACTTAGGAAGTATTGAAGCCAGAGACAAATATGAAGGTAGGTTTGTCAGAAGGAGGTCAGCATTTACTGTCTGTACTGGTTTTATTTACCGTATTTTTCCGTGTATAAGACGCTACTTTTTCATAAATATCTTTATCTAAAAATAGATGTGCGTCTTATACACGGGGGCCGCGGTTTTGAAAGTGCTGATAACACTGCAAACTAGCCTCACGGATTACAGAGACAAGATAACAGTTCTCCTCCAGTCATAAATCTTTTGAACCTGACGTGAGCTGTTGCTGGGGAGATCATGTAGGCAGGGCCCAGAGCGGTAATGTCGGAGCATTCTGTGACCATAAAAATGTCAGAAAGTGAAAAACAACCTGTAAACTCTCTAAACTCATGGTATGGTGTCAAACAAGAGGTGATTGTGAAGTCCTTCAAGAAATGTGGAATCAGCAATGCCATGGACGGAACTGAGGATGATCTTGTATATATAGACAGTGACTCAGCAGACAGCAGTGATGCAGCAGAAGTTGAAGACACTGATATGTTTGAAGCTAAAAGTGATGAAGAAATCAGTGATGCAACAGAGGCTGAATAAAGTGATTGGCTCAGAGGTAAGTGTGATGCATAATATCATTTAAAATATTGATTTCTGAATTTTGGGTAAGAAAAGTTGGGGGCGTCTTATACATGGGGGCGTCTTATAGACGGAAAAATACGGTAATACTAGTTTACCTGTGTCTGCCTTCTGTTATGTTTTCACCTATTTTAGAAGAAAACATATGAAGCCTTTCATAGACAATGTCCTTCTTCAGTGAGCTGTGGACACGTACACGCCATTACACAGGAATACTTCCACCCAAGTAAGAACTTTGTAATGCCAACATGTTCCTAAGGTATATGGTTCTAATCGGTTTAAATCACTGATGGTAACATAAGCACATGTATTTCAGTAGCTCACACTCAAAAACAAAAGAACACATCACCATACATTATGTAAGTTTACTGGTGATTTCTGTGCAGACTTTTGCTCTGCTGTATGGGCCTCATGTAGCGTAAAGCTGGATGAATGCCATTCGCATGGCATTACATAGGAAGAACATAGGAATTTCCTATGCTTTATCCTGGGCGGAAGGTTAATACCTGTGCCCCACATGCTGACTTTAAGTTTTTGGCTGCACTTTGAATGGTTCGTCTAGGAGTAACTGGCATACATTGGGACATTCACATCCACACAGATAGAAATGGACATGTGAGTCAAACACAGCCCTGGCCTAGGTAACCTTTTCCTAACCCAGCTACTTGTAATAATTGAAATGCCTTCATAGAGCAGCCTTGAATGGAGCACCTAAGAACAGTATCGCACTTGATGGTGCAGTGCACTGACAAGCCTTTTCCCTTGTAAGAACTTAAAAAATGACCCATTATTTAATATGCTGAAGTTTAAATGGCACTTCCATGAGATGGCAGTCCCACTTGGTTCAGGATACTCTGAGTCTCTTTGCCCCACTGGGCGGAGAGATTGCTTTATGATGCAGTCCCTGACAGGAGGACAACGTATCTCTTACATTGACACTTCAAGAGCATGTCTCAGCCTCCCTAAAGAGATCAGCACAACTAATGCACAGGCACCAGTAAAGGTACTTCCAGGCATGTTCTATCATACTCATTGCCAAGACCATATAAGACTCCATCTAGGATGCCCCTGTGCCGATCTTTGACCAGTTCCAGGACAGAGTCCTATGCAGCTAGAGTAGCCACCAGTCTCATACAAAGTTCCATGCAAAGGGGATCCATCATCTCTATATACACTATATTGCCAAAAGTATTGGGACGTCTGCCTTTACACGCACATGAACTTTAATGGCATCCCAGTCTTAGTCCGTAGGGTTCAATATTGATTTGGCCCACCCTTTGCAGCTATATCAGCTTCAACTCTTCTGGCAAGGCTGTCCACAAGGTTTAGGAGTGTGTCTATGGCAGGGGTGCCCATTAGGTAGATCGTGATCCACCAGTAGCTCTCAAAGCTGATGCTGGTAGATCACGAAGGGTGTGAATGGTGGCCCCTTTATTCCATTTTGGTATATTTATTTAGCTGTGCACACATGATTACCTATTAGCCTGAGTCTGCTGAGTCAAGTTCCCTGACACCTTTCTGGTGGTTGAAGTGCTATGTATTAGACATGTGCACTGCCAAAAAATTTGTTTCGTTTCGTTTTAAATTCGGATTTGTGTTATTTCGTTTTTCGGGATTCGGGTGTGAAAGTCAATTCAGATTCGGAATTCGGATTCAGACGAAATTCGGTAGCGTTAGTTCAAACGTTCGTTTCGTATTCTGTTCTTATTCGTTTCTTATTCGTTTCGTATTCGTTTCGTTCGTTCGTTTGCAGCAAAGTGACATTTGAAGGGGGAAAAATATTTTTCTCCTTCTCTAATGTCACTTTGCTCCAACGAACGAAACGAATAAGAACAGAATACGAAACGAACGTTCGTACTAACGCTACCGAATTTCAGAAATGGAAATTCGGATTCGTTTACATTCGTTATGTCTGTAATTCGGAATTCGGATACATCTGAATGTCCGAATTTCCGAAAATTTGTCCGAATTTCGATTCGGAACTAAACGAATCGCACATGTCTACTATGTATTACATAGAATATTAGTTTACAAAGCCTGTTGCACTGCACTGTTTGCAAAATACAGCAAGGTGAGCCAGGAGAGAGAGCGGGGAGAGACAACCAGTAGAGAGAGCGAGGAAAGACAGCCAGGAGAGAGAGAGAGCGAGGGAGGGTTTTTTGTCGTTGGTAGATCTCATGTAGCTCGTCATTTGAAAAGTAGATCTTAACACAAAAAATTGTGGGCACCCCTTGTCTATGGGAATGTTTGACCATTCTTCCAGAAGTGCATTTGTGAGGTACTGATGTTGGACGCCCGGGCTCGCAGTCTCCGCTCTAATTCATCCCAAAGGTGTTATTCTAATGAGTTAATTAGTGACACCACTAGAAACACATCCGCAGGGATACAATCGGTTCCACAGTGGCACCGTCAGAAAGACATCCACAGAGATACAATCTGTTCCACAGTGACACCGCCAGAAACACATCCGCAGAGATACAATCAGATCCACAGTGACACCGCCAGAAACACATCCACAGAGATACAATCAGTTCCAGTGTCACCGCCAGAAACACATCCACAGAGATGCAATCGGTTCCACAGTGACACCGCCAGAAACACATCCACAGAGATGCAATCAGTGACACAGCTAGAAACACATCCGCAGAGATGCAATCAGTTCCAGTGACACCACCAGAAACACATCCACAGGCATACAATCGGTTCCACAGTGACACCGCCAGAAACACATCCACAGAGATACAATCAGTTCCACAGTGTCACCGCCAGAAACACATCCACAGAGATGCAATCGGTTCCACAGTGACAACGCCAGAAACACATCCGCAGGGATAAAATCGATACCACAGTGACACCGCCAGAAACACATCAGCAGAGATACAATCGGTACCACAGTGACACCTCCATAAACACATCCGCAGAGATGCAATCAGTTCCACAGTGACACCTCCATAAACACATCCGCAGAGATACAATCAGTTCCACAGTGACACCTCCAGAAACACATCAGCAGAGATACAATCGGTTCCACAGTGGCACCGCCCGAAACATATCCGCAGAGATACAATCAGTTCCACAGTGACACCGCCAGAAACACATCCGCAGAGATACAATCAGTTCCACAGTGTCACCTCCAGAAACACATCCGCAGAGATACAATCGGTTCCACAGTGTCACCGCCAGAAACACATCCGCAGAGATACAATCAGTTCCACAGTGACACCGCCAGAAACACATCCACAGAGATACAATCAGTTCTATAGGCAGAAACATCCAGGCTACCACTGCTAACCTCCTTATGAATTGCTAAGTGCTTGCCATGTTTTGCTATTTTATGTGTAAATGACCCAAACATACATACATACATCTCTTTTTAAATATGTTCACACAAAATTCATACAACTTTCACCCAGGGTCCACACATTTTATAGTTTCTTCCAATTAGAAAAATGTATGTGTCATGGGTGAAACAAAGATCAGCGATTGTCATTCTACATCCAGGTGAGCATGTCGGGGACCACAAGGGTGGCAATGGTGACTATTTATCATTATCTGCATATTCATATGACAGGCTGGCTACAACAATATGGCGCCTTCCCGAGGACACAACCATGCCACGAACCGTTTCCTCAATGCTTGTCGCTTTGTTTACACGTCACTTCCATCTCCCTGCGAGCGGTTCCGGTGTGGATGTAGTTGGATCGTTTCGTTGTACAGTACACGAGGTTTGGGTTTCTGAGGTGTCAGCATGGAGACCAAACCGGGGGGACAGCCGGCGGGCAGAAAAATGGCGACCCCCACAGTGACACAGATGAATGCCGAGTTTGTCACTCAGGTGAGGGGAGAGGGGACACCTGTGTCAGGACTGGAGCACTTCTCTGGTGAGGTGTACTGTACAGGACATTCTTGTGTCAGGAGAGGAGGAGTTCTGTACAGAACATTCATGTGTCAGGAGAGGAGGAGTTCTGTACAGAACATTCATGTGTCAGGAGAGGAGCACTTCTCTGGTGAGGTGTTCTGTACAGGACGTTCGTGTGTCAGGAGAGGAGCACTTCTCTGGTGAGGTGTTCTGTACAGGACGTTCATGTGTCAAAGTTAAGTGGGAAAAAAAATGAAAAGTTGCAAAACAATAAAAAATAAAGTCACGCATGAAAAAGAATAAAAAACAACCACAACTTTTTTTTTTAAAGTCCCCCCCCCCCCCACAACCACAGATAACACTAAACTGATGAGCGGTAAAAGCTTTAAAAGTGTCGCCTATGGCCAATTTTGGGTATGGTAGTTTTCTGCGATTTCGCTGGTGCGCGCAATTTTAAAGCTTGACATGTTTGGTGTCTATTTACCCGACGTGACCCGATCTTTTATATTTTACCCAAAAACTGGGAAATAATAAATGTTTCCTAACATAATGTAAAAAAAACACTTTTTTTTTCAAATTTTTCAGTAATTTTTCCTAATTATAGTAAAAAATAAAAACCCGCAGTGGTGATTAAATACCACCAAAAGAAAGCTCTATGTGTCCCCAAAAAATGGTATAAAATTAATTTCAGTACAGCGTTGCATGACGGAATAAATGTCATTCAAAGTATCGCAGCGCTGAACACTGAAAAATGGCCTGGAAAGGAAGGGGGTCTAAACACCTGGTCTTGAAGTGGTTAAGCAAATATAAAAGCAAAGTAAATTTCCTGTCACCTCTTTTCTCTCATTTTTTTGTTCTTTAGATTCCATCAAATAATGACAGTTTTGTGTAAACAACTTTATTGAACCTGAAATGGACAGAATATAAAGTACAAGTGCTGTATGCAATATGTTTATTTTAATGTTTTATTTTTTGTTTTTCAGTTGGCAAAATCACACTGGGCTCCACATTCAAAGAACAAACTGCCGTTCGACCCTAAGGTAAGGCTGCAATTCCCCACTGTTCTGTGGAAGGTCCACGCACTGTTGTGATCTGAGAGTGCATCAATAAGACTGATTTGGTGCTGGTAGGATCATCCTCCTGATCCACACATTGTTTGGTGCTGGTAGGATCATTCTCTGATCCACACATTGTTTGGTGCTGGTAGGATCATTCTCTGATCCAAACATTGTTTGGTGCTGGTAGGATCATTCTCTGATCCACACATTGTTTGGTGATAGTAGGATCATTCTCTGATCCAAGCATTGTTT